GGCTGACTAAATACTTTTTTGCCCCACTGTATATATATATACTGTATATACAGTATCTCAAAACCTGCAGCAGTGTAAAAGTCCGATCAAATGAGTTTAAGCCTGTCTTCCGCTTCGTTTTCAAGTCATGTGAAAGGGCCTTTCAGTGATTTCTTCTCTACATCCGAGTATGCCTGGTTCTCTTACCTTCTGGTACCCAATTAGACATTTTTAAGACTGCTCGCTCTGTGAACGACAACAACTTTGAGCAGTGAAACGATTGTTCATCTGCATAAATGATCAAAACATTCAGACATTAATGTATATCAAAAGAAAACAAACACACACACACACACACACATATATATGTATATGTATGTGTGTATATATATATATATATATATATATATATACAGTGGGGCAAAAAAATATTTAGTCAGCCACCAATTGTGCAAGTTCTCCCACTTAAAAAGATGAGAGAGGCCTGTGATTTTCATCATAGGTATACCTCAACTATGAGAGACTCACTGTGTATATAAATATATATATATATAGGCAAAACAAGCAAACGAACAAGAAAAGCTCCTTAAGACTTTGTTCTCTTACGTGCAGATAAACGAAACTCGCGGGGTGCTATATGATCTGAAATAAATAACACAGAGAAAAATGTCATATACCTTATCATAATACTTGTTTGTGTAAATGACGAAAGGCAAGCACGCAGGTCTACACAAAAACCAAATGATAAAGATGGCTCCAAAGACAACAAGACGCTGTACATCTTTGCATTGCCTTCCTTCTGATCCCAAAATTAGGAAAGAGTGGATGAACTTTATTTTTAATGAAGCATCAGTAAGAACTCGGTCCATCGTTCACTTCATTTTACAGAAGATTCATTTACAAACAAGGCTCAATTTGACCTGGATTTTCAGAAAGATTGAAACTAAAATACGATGCTGTGCCGACTATATTGGATCCGACAGTAATGTTGCAACACAAGTGCAAGTAACTGTTGCTATTGCACTATTGCTTTGTCGGTTATTACAGATCTTTTGGTATGTACTGAGTATTTATGTATTTTTAATCTAAATCACAGCAGCGTCCATCTGTGAAGGATGTTGGCTGTCAAACATACACAACTGCTAGCCAATCATAGCAGTGGGCGTTTACTTCCGAGTCTACAATCCGCCACGCCTATTCAAACAGAGTTCTGATGAGGGGGGTTAAAAACAGGACAGAAAATAGCATATTACTTCTAAATTATTTTTCTTGATGTAAACATTTTGATAACATTATAAGTGGAATACAGAGAACAGTATAAAATAATAATAAAAGGCAGTTCATGTCCCCTTTAACACATAGTGGGATCAAATGTCCTAGAAGCAAATCTAAAATATAGCTGCAAGCAGCGATTACCGGGGTTCAAGCACTTAAAGGCCTTCATGGCTTCTATGCTGTCAGGGGTCTCAGCCAACGTGAAATGTATGGCTGACACCAGAACGCATCCATGACAGAGAATATGATGACACACACAGAATAATGAAAAGGTTGAACTATATTACTTAAGACACACTCTATTACTTAATAAAGACTATGCATGTCCACACACAAACAGACACACATTATGCTGTAGATATAGATTTTTTAAATAACTTACAGGTAATAAAATGCTTACTGGAAGTGTCCTGTTAATAGTCTTTTTTAGGCTTACATTTCATTATAATGTGGCATAATTGTCAAAACTAATAAGTCTGTATAAATAAAGTGGTAAACTTTGACTAAATGTGATTTAAAATGTAATAATAATGATTTATTATCTGAATGTCAGTACCCAAGTAAAACCTGATAAAAGAACTATATAAGTGATAGAATGAGCCAATGAGTGATCCTTTGCTGCCATTTAGTGGTTGTATTTGCACTTTCAGGGAATGCAGCATAGACATGTAGTGTTTTTAACCTTCATAACTGTTACAGTGTCAGTTTCCGTCCAATCTCCATAAAATGTTAGCATGAATGTTTAGAATCATATAATGCATACGTTTACATAGTTTTGTGATGTTTTGAGTTTTCTTTAAAGATTTATAGACTTTTGGGTACACTAGATCAAGACCACATTATGAAATGGCCCTGTTATAACTGTCCAAATGCAAATGTTCAACATTTTTTGATAATTATTGATCAAGAGAGTCCAGAGAATTGTACTGCACTGATTTGATTGATTTTGAGTATATAGCCTACAACTAGTTCAGAAAAGTAGTTTTTTTTAATAATCTCAAATGTTTAATGAACAGTTTGATTGAAAGCATTGGTCCCAGAGGCAAAGTTCAGAATGAGGAGGTCTATTATATTATATGAAGATCTAGTGTTTGTGTGAATATATGAACATGTTCTACAAATTGATGTCATTGCCTTCTTAACTGTTATAGCACCACCTATGGTCCGATCTCCATGCAACTTTGCATGCTTATTACGAGTCTTCTGACACATGTTTTCACTAAGTTTCGTAAAGTTTTGAGTTTTCGTATGGTTTTATAGGCTTTTGGGTTTATTTGGCCACACCCCTTTTTAAAATGACCCCGTTATATCTATTCAAAGGACAAAATTCAACATTTATTTTTATAATTATTGATCTAGAGAGTCCAGAGAATATTACTGCAGTGGTTTGATCGAAAAAACCTAGGACTAGTTTGCAAAAGTAGGTTTTTAACATAATTGAGACTATTTAATGAACGATGGTTCTTGAGGCAAAGTTATGCATTATGAGAAGATCTATCAAATGATGTGCATATTGTGCGGATGTGTGAAACACCACGTGATTACAGACCCATAAAACTAATTAGTGCCAACTAGTGGCCAATTTCTTTCAAAATTCTTACACACCTTTAGGGCCATGAGTCGAACATGCCCACTGAGTTTCGTTCCGTTCGACCTCCGTTAACCTTGTCTAATAGGTGCTTAAACTTCTTTGGCCAATGGCGGCCATGTTTTTTGAGATATGGGAATGTCCTCATAGACACTTGTGCCAATTTGGACCAAGACACTGCATACCAATTTTCAAGTCGATTGGACCAATGGTTGCATAGTTATAGCAGTTTTTATGTTTTTTCCATCTTATACCGCCACCAAGTAGCAGAGCTGCGCTATTTATTTTTTTTATTTGACCAAAGATTGAGCTTATACACATGTGTACCAAGTTTGATGAAGATCTCATTCCGTTCAGAAGTTATAGGCATTTTAGTAAAAGTGGCCCTGCCCCTAATGGACGTTTTGGCATCCCTATGCGACGGTGAGTGAAAATTCTTACTTTTTTTTTTATATAATTATTGATATTGACTGTCCAGAGAACATTTCTGCACTGGTTTGGTTCTGATCGGGTAAAAAAAACCTAGGACTAGTTCACAAAAGTAGGTTTTGGACATAATTCAAAAAACGTGACCTCCAGGACCCTAAATCACCAGGAGGCAATTTTGTGTGGCTTGACCCAAGGATTCCAAAAATATATTTGAGTCTACGACAAACGGTCTAGGAGTTATGAGCCCTTTCACGTTTTTGATCACTGTAGCGCCCCCTATTGGCCGATTGGGCCAATTCCTGACACATTTCAAGCTGATGGAATGCAGGTGTTTACATGCCAGGTGACATCAGGGTAATGAGCAAAGATCTTTATGCTTAAATAACAGATTATTGTTTGTCTTACCATAATTTATTTGCCGCACGTCAATTCCTAAAGAAAAATCTGAAAAACATTTGATTTCACATCTCAGTGTAAACATCTAATAGTCAAGTGACAGTAAACAGTAAAAGTGATTTATACACACACAATGAGAGCACTAACCATTAGGGATGGGAAGATTCCCTGATTCGCTTGGTGCATCGGCATAAAAAGTTAACGATGCGATGCATCGGTTTAAAAAGTGTGCATCGGCTACAAGTTGTCATTTATATCATGATGCATCGCTTATAACATATTTGCATCAGTAAAAACCGATTCATTTATATATAATTACTAGTGGATGTGCAATACTATTATTATTTAGAAAGTGACCAATATTTTATATGTAGATTGATTTCTCCTCTCTAAACTGTTTCTCAAGCGCGCTCTCTCATCACCGCTGCTGCTGCGTGAATATGACGCATCACAACACCACGGAGACCCAAAGAAAAACTGGGATTAAAGTCCAAAACCTAACTTGAAATAACCTAACAAATCACTCAGGGCTAAAGTGGTTCCATTAACGACAAATTAAATTCACACAATCTCACTAATTTGTGCATGCTTATTCTTTAGCAGACCTTAATGTCGATCATGGATCAAATCGATCCACCATGACAAACAGCGAATATCTGTGCTGTTTAATGCATTTGAGACTTTGTGTTTTCCTCAGTGCATAACTGACATGCCACAGGTATATTTTTCATCTGTAAATGTTAGAAAGTCATGCAAACATATCCATTTTGCTGTCAGGAGTGAGTGGGCGAGGCATGCGAGAGCAACGAGCGCTGCTGTGCGCATGCACACTAAACAGAGAGAGCGCAATCGAATAGGAGCGCAATAATTCTGAGTAAAATATACATTCTGATAAAAAATTTGTTTTTGGACATTAAATGTGTCTTTTGTAGAAATTTAAAACTTACACATAAAGTGTATTTTTATGATAGCAGTAACTGTAAGTGGACTATTGTAATGGGTAAATCAAATGTAAGCTAGACACAGTGCTAATTACTAAGCTCAAATGAGTTAGTGTGTTTCTTATAGCAGTTAAAATGTAGTCATTTTCTTTATTATTTATTTCCTTTTTTAATTCAGTGATTTTATCTTTTAATTTAGTTATTTGAATGCTTTAAAGAGCAATTTTAGATTGTAATGTTCTAATGTTCTTCTATCTGTTCTGCAAACTATAAAAGGTACAAAACTGTAAGGGGACTATTGTAATGGGTAAATCAAATGTAAGATAGTACAGTGCTAATTACTAAGCTCAAATGAGTTAGTGTGTTTCTTATAGCAGTTAAAATGTAGTCATTTTCTTTATTATTTATTTCCTTTTTTAATTCAGTGATTTTATCTTTTAATTTAGTTATTTGAATGCTTTAAAGAGCAATTTTAGATTGTAATGTTCTAATGTTCTTCTATCTGTTCTGCAAACTATAAAAGGTACAGCTGTAATACAACCAGAGAGAAAGGCTGCATGCAAGAAACTGTAAAAGTAAAAAAAAAAAAAAAAAAAAAAAAACCTGCTTTAGACCAGGGGCCAGTTGCATAAACTTAGCCACCATCTTAAGACTGTGTCTTAAAAAAGAGTTTGACCAACTAGCAGTTGCCAAAGGGTAATCAGGCTTACTTTTCCAATACAAATAAGACCAATCTACCGTTTCATAACTGAATTTAAAAAGCTATGACCAGTCTTGAATAAAAACAATTAGTTGACTAACTTTTTAAGACTAGTCTAAACCGTTTATGCAACCGGCCCCTGGCAGGTTAGTTTCCCAGCATAAGTTGCCAGTGACTAAGCTTGATGTAGACTTATGTTAAATTTGCTTTATGGCACCAAATCATTTGACAATGAGTCAGACTAACTGAAATAAGCCTGGCTTATTTGGTTAACTTGTTTTATGAAACAGGCCTCGAGGCATTAAAAGTGATCATATTTTCTCCATTACATCATATTGCATCGAATTGCATTGTGCTGAATCGAATCGAAATCGGATCGCACTGCATTGTAATAGGGGTGAATCGTATCGCATCGCATCGGTAGCTGCTTCATATGTATCTTTAATGTATCATATCGTTGGCTATGCATCGAGATGCGTATCGTATCGGCCTGAGTCATGAGATGCACATCCCTACTAACCAAATATCGGCATTCTTCTCTGCAGCAGGGGTCCTTTCACAGTCTGTCTGCTGTCTTTATTCACAGCAATGAAGGCTGTATGAACACTGCTCACTCCTGCCTGAACACTGAGCTCCACGATCCTGCTCCTGATGCCCTCAACATCTGCAGCCCCTGACCTCTCCTTCTGCTCCAGAGAACGGATCAGGGTCCGAGCCACCAGCCGGTGAATAGACAACCTGCAGAAACATGGAGGAAAACTGTGAATTATTGTTGGCTTAGAAAAGCAAAGAGCTGATTCAACTGCAACTGAAAATCTACAATAATTCAATAGAATTTATTTAACAAAAAACTAACATTTGATATGATGTGTTGAGGATAAAAGTAATGCACTACTTTATTGTGTTATTTACTATAAAAAATTACTGATTATATTATTTTTGGAGAGATGATTCAATAACTAGGTAGGGAGATTTTCCTAACTAAATGCACAGATATTAATTCTGGCCAATAATTATTATTATCTTACAGCTGAAAACCAATAAATGGCTGATATTAAAAAGCTACCTTATTCTGTCTAAAAAACAATACACTAAATTGATAATCACTTTAAGTATCACAATATGCAGTCATAAATACTGTATGGGTAACTATTCATTTTACAAATAAAAGTTTAAAGAATTAAGTCCTTTTAATTTAATAAAGGTGAGAGGTTGAATGGGGCATAAATAAAAAGTAATAAATTATACTCAAACTATAAAATAATTAGTATTTAATTACATAAAATTATACTGGTCAACTTGATCCTGATAAAATAAATCAATGATATGGCCCTGGTATATTATTATGATATTATAGTGTAAATTTACCCATTTGTGTTACTTGTACTGGTTATAATTCTAAAGTGAAAGTTATATAAAATTAATTGGCAGCAAAAGGCTTTATTTCTAGTTTGATCATTTAAAAGGTGTTTTAGAGGTGAGTTGCTCTGAAGCAAGGACTGGAGCTGTGGTTTTCAGCGTCTAAATGTGTGTTTGTGTGTGTTACTTTGTTTCCTCTGTTGGTTTGAGGCAGAAGTGGAGCTGGTTTGTCACTGGTTGATCTTTGAGACTGTATTTGACTGTCACTGTTCCCTCAGAGCCTCCTGAACTCTATGAGAGAGAAAAGGCAGATTTTTATTATCTAAACAAATGAGACAGTGTCTGTATGTCATAACATGCTACATCATCTCACCTCTCCTTTAAGTTGGGCATAAATGAGTGTCCTTTGACCCTGGAAGAGCACATTGATGGGTGGAGACAGTGTGTCAACAGTAACTTCATCTGGAAGGGTCCAATCCACAGAGATATTAAGCACAGCGGGCTGCAGCGCAAACCTGAGCGACTGCATCACCTGATATAGTTTGAAGAGAAAGAGAAACCATTGAGACATTTGACTAGGAAACATTTGTGCCTGTGAAATCCAGAGGAGAGCTTTACTTTGGGCTGCATGCGGTCGGTGTCTGTGATGAACTGAGCGTGACCAGATCCCTCCCTGGCCATTCCTGTGATGAGGGCGGCACTCGCACCCTCACCAATCCCCAATGAGAAACACCTGAAGACACGATAAACTCTGTTACTGTTAGTGATGAAGATATGAATGATGGACAGATCAAACCCAGCAGAGCTTTACCTGTGAGAGTGAGCGTGACTTTTCACCAGATCCAGCACCTCTTTAGTGTCTACCACCTCTCCATCAGTGAAGACGAACAGCTGAAGAGAGAAAAACAGTCTTAAAACTTTGACTTCACATCGGTACAATGCGTTGTTCAGATGCACAGTGAGGTGTCGTACCTGTCTGGGGTGATCGGGGTAACAGGGCTGACTGTAAATGTGTTTTAGAGGCTGTAATATCTCTGTGCCGCCCATGTCTGCTTGCATTTCCTTCACTCTCTTCAGAGCCTGATCCATTGTGTCCTGATTGTACTCAACACTCTGACTGCAAGACACAGAAAAAGATCAAATCTTCTCTGATACATTTCAATACTGAATATATATGAATGAAGATCTAGTTACTAACGGGAAGAAGGACTCAAAATTAGAGCCAAATCCATAGATATTGAAGTAGCATCCCATGGGCAGACTCTTCAACACTAACAGCAGAGTGTCCTATAGAGAGACATGGACAGAAAGTGAAAGTGAGATCAAAACTATAGTATTTACTACAGCATAACTATTGTATTTACTTTCCGAATGCATATTACTGGTTTTATTGTGCACTAAGAAATCATGGTTTGTCTTTCATCAAAACATAACTACTTCTTCCTCTGACCTCACAAACCCTTCTGACTTTTTCAGTCATTTCCCTCCAATCACTTGACTCGAGTCTGATATGAAATGGAGATGGATAAAATACAGACCCAGACTACATCATTCTTCCTCATTAAATATATCTCTTTCCTCAGAAATGTCACAAAACAGAAATAAAATTGGTTGTGAACCAAGTCTCATGATGATTTTAAATGTGTCTCATCTCAATACATTTAAATAAATGCTGTTTTTAACCTTAAATCTTACCTTTGCACTTTCTATGCGCATTTGTGCTCCTTTCCCTTGACTCATCATGTCTCTCATACTGCCTGATCTGTCAATCACAAAAACAAACTCGCCTTGAGTTGCCAGTGATTTCATCAATTCTTCTGGGAACTCTGGATACAAACTTATCATGACCACTGGGTCCCTCATCAGAGAACCTGAAAAGCAGAGAAAGAGTCAGTGACACCTTCATCACTCAATCCCATAATCCCGGTTCAATCCCATAATCCTCTACCTGGTGGAGCAGTGGCCACTCCTGCCTCCACTATAGCAGAGGGCTGATGGGTATCCTGATAGTACACAAACAGCTCAACGTCCTTATCAAACATGTGACCAGGACTCAGATTCACCTGCACACACAAACAACACATGCATAAAACTGCTCTGCTCACACATCCAGATAAACACATGAAGACACACAGTACCGTAGCCTGAGTGTGATCAGAGTGGAGGAACACTAGAGGACCCAGAGTGCAGTTGGACTCTAGTTTGGAGATGGACTTTGGAGAGCTCACATGAACACTGAGAGTCAGCGTGTAGGGAACAGCTCCTGATGAAATCTCTGAGACTATACCAGCAGCTGAACCTGACACACACACACACACACAGAGTGTGTTAGAATCAGCTTCTCTGCTCTAATAAAGTGTGTGTCAGAGCTGCAGTAGTACCTGCTGGTGTGTATCGGGGGTTGAGTACAGCCGGCAGACAGAAGCGCAGCGAGTGGTCGGCCTGCACAGCGAGCTCGGTGACGTAGATGATGGTGACGGCAGCATTCTGACCCGCTGACAGACACCCGACACTCAGTCTGAACACATCAGGACTCTCTGTGCTCTCTTCCAACAGAAACGCCTGCTGACCCGAACTCACAGCGTCATCATACTGATCCCTCGCCTGCAAGATACAGTTTTATCAAATGATGTAAAGTAAAAATATATGCAACTGAGATGCAGTTTGTATTTGGACTCACGGTTTCTCTGTCCTGCACCTCTGCCACAATCTCCTGCTCTCCGATCTTGGCACTGAAGTGGCAGACAGCAGCATCAGCAGGCAGAGGGAAGACGAACAAGGCCTCCAGGGGGCGCTCTTCCTCATTCACATACTGCAGAGTGGAGGAGACTGTGGCTACATGATCCTGAACCAGAACCTCCACTGAGATGCTCTTCAGAGGCACTGAGGCACACAAACCAACACAAAAACATCACAAATACAGAAGAAAACATCACAAACACACCTCACAAAGAGAACGGGGTGTGTGACATGCCGCAGTTGACCGTTGAAAAATAATATTCTTGTTTTTCTTGAGAAAAACAAATTATGTTAAATACTGAGATAGCAATAGTAATGTGTCAAAACATTTCAGCTCTCCTACATATAGCAAAAGTTTTCATTTAAGAAACAGGCAACAGCAAACAGGTCAGGTGAATTAATACCTGGCTCTTTCTTCTCAGTCACAAGACCGCAGATCTCCATTCTCACACTCCGTTAAACGAAATAACGATTTTTCTTCAAATCGAAATTGAAACTCAAACACCGAAACCGCGTTTATATCTGCCTCAGATCTTCACAGATCGACACGAAATGATTAAATCAGCGTTTCTGAGCGTTTCTAATGCGGTCAAAGTCGCTGAATCACCGCGGAGTCAGAGAATCAACAGTATAGTGAAGTCATACCTCATGAATATTAATTGAGTTGTACGGAAGCGCCGTGCCCACGTTTGATTCATGAATATTAATTGAGCTATGTTGAGCTAGGTAATTTTTTTTTTCCTCTCACCTTTTTGAAAGACAATCATTCTAATTCTAATGAAAAAATACTATAGTGTTTTTGAACCATACTATAGTAAAGTACTTGAATTAATTTGTTGTGGTAATTCTATAGTTGCTGTGGTAATATAACAACTATGGTAATATAAACACATTACTTTACCCAATACTGTACTAAGTTTTCTACAACTATAGGGTATATTATACTACAATACACTACAGTTTACTGTAGTAAAAACTAAAGTATACTACAGTATTTCTTACAGTTCACTATAGTTCATACTCCAGTATGCTGTAGTGTTCATTAACAAAGTGTTGTAAATATTATACAGTATAATACACTTTACTATAGTATGGTTTAAAAACACTATAGTATTTTTTATGTGATACTTTAGAAAAGTTTCTATAATATCTCCTTGCTTTTCCTAATTTTAACCGTACTCTAAACATGATTCTGCCGCTGTGTGAAAGTATCCTCAGCGACTGAGGACCAACAGCTTTAGTAAATCACTGACAGACAAACAAAAACCAGGAGTATAAAGTTGTTTAAAAATCGGTAATTTTATTCAAATTATTTTACATTTCAAAACAGCAAAAACACAATAGAGTTTTTATATGCGACCCGTTTCATTTAAATGACTATCTTGGAAACATATTGTTATATATAGTATAGAGTGGGGGAAAATGAATCAGGGTATCTTCCGTCCAATCAATTTTTGTTTTAATATTGAAATCTGAAAAATGAAAAACGGCACATATTTCGTTTTTCAATTATTCAAACAAAACGAAAAATCAAGAATCCGGCTTAATTTTTCGTTTTTACCCCCTTGGTACGATTTAATTTTTGTTAATCTAATAACATGAAAACTCTGGACATTTTTCATACTTGGTTTATAATTGATGTCATTGTCACTAAAACTTTAAAAACTACTCTAGACACGTTTAATTTTTGTTTCACAGAAAATTACACAGTCCTTGGGGGGGCTTTCCCCCACTCTACCCAGGCTATATATTTATATTTTTTTACTTTAGTAGATAAAACTCAAATGGTGCAGGTCACACATATTTAGAATTTACTGTAGATTTGAGCAAATAAAAATGGACTAAATGTTATGAAACAAGTAACGGAACGATAAATGAAACAGTATCTGTTCTTTGGTCTTCTGACGGATCAGGATGTAGAAACACTGACGTCTTCAGATTCCCAGAGTCTCTTTGGTCACCTGACATCCGAGCAGGACATTCCCCACACACACACACACTGAGACAGATCTCCCACTGAAACACCCACACACTCAAACCATCAGTGTGTGTCACAGAACTGAAGATATTTGCTGAAACGTCTCTTGATGAACGCTGACTGAATGCGGTCTGGAATGGAGATCTCACCTTTCTGAGAACCGATCCATGACGCTGCCTTCATGGCCACAAACTGCCACTCCACCTGCTGCTCTATTTTACAGCCGTATAACCAGATCAGAGCCAGGAGAGTGGCCCATACTGACCCATCCACCTGTGTACAAACCAGCATCCACTGCATTTGTTACTGGACACTGCACACAATCATCACTGTCTTATTATTTCATCACATCTCTCACCTGTGCTGGTTTCTGATTGGTCAGCTCATCCTCCGTCTCCCCAAACACATCAGCCAGGGTGGCGTCCAGATCCCAGCAGCCTGACGCCTTTTGCAGAGAAACCAGCTGCAGTAACGGGTCCTTCTGAAGCTCAGGAGCAGCTGAAAAGCACAATTTGCATGTTTACTGAAATAGCCGTTTTACTGCTCAAAGTGCAATTAAATGCAACGGTCTCAATTATTTATCATGGAGTAATGTTTGTCATTTATTTGTTTTTTTAAAGAATAGCATGTAGCAATATATAACCCATTTTACAGGTTTACATGCAAAATCAATAACCCGGCAACGCAAGTAAACTGTTTACAGGACTTTATTAAAGACACCCTGCGGTCATTAGTTATAAATATACTAGGTTAGATATCATCTTTGACAATGTGACACATTTAAACATTTTTCCAGGGAAAATAATTTTTTCATGCCTTTAAATGGCTTGAATACTACTCTACACCCCTCACCTCATGTAGTATATTCATTTAGTACAGCTATTTCAAAGCTTATTTTTGACTTTAGTTTTAAGAAGAAAATGCTCCGCAATGGTGTTGACTGATGAATTTGCACATGGTTTGTCTGTAACCATATTAAAAACACTAGAAAGACATGTAAACAATGTTAAAACTTGATTTTCAAATAATTATTTCAAAATGCCAGAAGGAAACCTGCACAGACTCATTCTCCTCACATACTGTATGTGAAATTTCTATGACTCTACCAGTTGTCCTATGGCTGCACGAGACGAGAATTTTTTTTTATAAAAATTTCTTGGGTCAAAAAAAGAGTGGGTAGTTTGAGATATAAGAAATTATTTATACCAGAATGGGCAGCCTATAGTTTACAGGTTGCCAGACTTCAAGCCAAAGCACTTGATCAAAGCTTTAAATATTCTGTTTTTAGATATTTTAAAGAATTTACCCAGACTCATATATTGGCTTCTAGCGACCCTGCACTCAGCATCAGCCTTTAAAATTTGTGTTGTTCGACCACTAAATATTTTTCTCTAAAATGACTGTGTTTGCTTTATCTGTCACTACTTCTGTGTAATGTGTATGTGTGTTCAAAGAAGTTTTTAAGTTTGACAATGACTCACTTCCTGTTAAGACAAGCTGTACATAATGTCATTAATTACAGTAAATAAGTCAGGTGCACATTGAGGTGTTGTACCTGTCTGGGGTGATCGGGGTAACAGGGCTGACTGTAGATGTGTTTTAGAGGCTGTAAAATCTCTGTGCCGCCCATGTCTGCTTGCATTTCCTTCACTCTCTTCAGAGCCTGATCCATTGTGTCCTGATTGTACTCAACACTCTGACTGCAGGGACAAATAAACATCTCATCTCCACTGACACATTTCAATACTGAATATCTATGAATGAAGATCTAGACACTAACGGGAAGAAGGACTCAAAATTAGAGCCAAATCCATAGATATTGAAGTAGCATCCCATGGCCAGACTCTTCAACAGTAACAGCAGAGTGTCCTATAGGGAGACATGGACAGATATTCAAGTGTCTCTCATCTGAATATATGAGCAAAAAGCCCAACATTAAATCTTACCTTTGCACTTTCTATGCGCATTTATGCTCCTTTCCCTTGATTCATCATGCCTCCCATACTGCCTGATCTGTCAATCATCTGTGTAATGTGCATGTTTTTTCAAAGAAGTTTTGAAGTTTGACAATGACTCACTTCCTGTTAAGACAAGCTGTACATAATATCATTAATTACAGTAAATAAGTCAGGTGCACATTGAGGTGTCGTACCTGTCTGGGGTGATCGGGGTAACAGGGCTGACTGTAGATGTGTTTTAGAGGCTGTAAAATCTCTGTGCCGCCCATGTCTGCTTGCATTTCCTTCACTCTCTTCAGAGCCTGATCCATTGTGTCCTGATTGTACTCAACACTCTGACTGCAGGGACACAAATAAACATCTCATCTCCACTGACACATTTCAATACTGAATATCTATGAATGAAGATCTAGACACTAACGGGAAGAAGGACTCAAAATTAGAGCCAAATCCATAGATATTGAAGTTGCATCCCATGGGCAGACTCTTCAACAGTAACAGCAGAGTGTCCTATAGGGAGACATGGACAGATATTCAAGTGTCTCTCATCTGAATATATGAGCAAAAAGCCCAACATTAAATCTTACCTTTGCACTTTCTATGCGCATTTATGCTCCTTTCCCTTGATTCATCATGCCTCCCATACTGCCTGATCTGTCAATCACAAAAACAAACTCGCCTTGAGTTGCCAGTGATTTCATCAATTCTTCTGGGGGATACAGTTTTATCAAATGATGTACAGTAAAAATATATGCAACTGAGTTGCAGTTTGTATTTGGACTCACGGTTTCTCTGTCCTGCACCTCTGCCACAATCTCCTGCTCTCCGATCTTGGCACTGAAGTGGCAGACAGCAGCATCAGCAGGCAGAGGGAAGACGAACAAGGCCTCCAGGGGGCGCTCTTCCTCATTCACATACTGCAGAGTGGAGGAGACTGTGGCTACATGATCCTGAACCAGAACCTCCACTGAGATGCTCTTCAGAGGCACTAAGGCACACAAACCAACACAACAACACCACAAATAAACTTTCTGACTCTTCTGAATCATAAAGAGATTTTTGTGGGCATTCTGTATGTGGAGTTGATGAGCTTGAATTTAAAGATGAACTGCGATTTATGAAGTGGGATGCATTTAGCAACATTTTTGAGTGGGGGTTCAGCCTTCAATTGGTAGGCAGGAGCTACCACAGTCAGTAAGGCCAGTGGTTCCCAACACAGCACATTTTGCATGTCTCCTTTCCCTGACACACCAATTTCAGGTCTTGGAGCAGGGCTGCCCAAACTCGGTCCTGGAGGGCCGGTGTCCTGCAGAGTTTTGCTCCAACTTGCCTCAACACACCTGCCTTTAAGTTTCTTGTATGCCTAGTAAGACCTTGATTAGCTGGTTCAGGTGTGTTTAATTGGGGTTGGAGCTAAACTCTGCAGGACACCGGCCCTCCAGGACAGAGTTTGGGCAGCCCTGTCTTGGAGTCTCTACTAATGAGCTGATGACCTGTATCAGGTGTGTTTGATTAAGGAGACATGCAATATGTGCAGTGTTGGTGTGCCTCAAGGACCAGGGTTGGGAACCACTGAGTTAGGCAACTACTGAATTAAGACAGATTTGCTAATTCGCTATTGTTTATTAAACTCTCGCATTATCAGAAAAAAACAAGAACGTGTTGATATAATTAAAATATCGGAGTTTAAAAAAACAAAGGAGAAGGAGACTTGAGCCCTTAATGACATCTTGGTTAAAACTACGTTATTAATGGGTTAAATACTGAGACAAATCGCGTGGAAAACACCTCAGCTCTCCTACTTTTAAAAAGTTTTAATTCAGGAAGCAGGTAACATTACATGTAAATAGATGAATTCATACCTGGTTCATTTTTCTCAGTCACAAGACCGCAGATCTCCATTCTCAGGCTCCGTCTGTTACTTCAAATCGAAACTGAAACTCAAACACCGACCCTGCTGCCTTGAAAATGGCCTTAAATCTGTACAGACTGACTCATTTAACTATTAAATCAGTGTTATTTATAAGTTTACAATGATGTCAAAAGTTTTGGGAAATCACCTCTCCGGTACCAGTCAAAAGACCAATAGCTAGTAGACAGTGAAGTCATGCCTCATTAATATGAATTGTTTTGTGCGCAGACTTGCCAAGAGCTACTGGAGGGCTGTGCCCACGTTGATTCATGAATATTAATTAGGCTCTGTTCGGAAGCTGTGCGCTGGTTTGATTGGTTAAGTTTCACTGCAACTTCCGCATGGATGTTTCTTCAGTTAAGGGGATTTTCCTCTTAATGCAAGTGTTGAAATGTTGAAATAAGGGGATTTTCCTAATTGTAAGAGTTGAAATCCATATTTTGCTCTCTAAACATGATTCTGCTGTATGAAAGTATCACCAGTGTTAGTGATTAAGGACCAACAGCTTTAGTAAATCACTAACAAAAGTTTTGTTTAATTTAAAAAAAAAAAATTATATATATATATATAATTCGATTCCAAACAAAAGCTGAACAGAACTATATGTGACCTGCTTCATTTAAGTTATTATACCTTGGAAACATTTGATATATTTAGAAAACCATTTTATGACTGTTTTTTTACTTTGGTACATAATACTCAAATGATGGTGCAAGCTAAAATATCTAGAATTTGGTGTTGATTTGAGCATATAAGATTGAACATTGATTAAATGCAAAGAATATTTTAGCCCTTCGTCTTTCGATGCCATCCGACTATTCTCAGTCCTTGCATGGGCCCATCATGAACATGAAGCCAATTGTCTGTTCACAAACTTCTTCAAAGTTTATTATTGCATCCGTAGATTATATAGGTACATTGCAAGGGGTGGTGCAGTGCTTTTATCCAATACGAATTATACACTACTACATCATATATGAATGTAAGGAGAAAAACAAGTACATATAAAGGAATACATTTGGCAAACAAAAGGATTTTCTTCCAGCTACACCTCTAGATCCAGATGGGTCTGTTCTGATTGGATCCAGTGAACCCCCCAACTGGAAGTCCCTTGTCCTTATATGAACATTTGAACTCATGAGGAGATATACATATATGCACATGCGTATATAACTTAAGGGATAGAGAGAGGTAAAGACAATAGAGAGGAGAGAGAGAGAAAGCACAAACGGGAGGAGGGAGCGAGAAAGAGAGAGGAGGGGGGAGACAAGGAGCACAAGAGGAGGGGAAGCGCAGAGAAGCAAAGTCACAGGAATATTAGGCAGAGAGTGTGATATAATTTAACATTAAACAAGTAGCAAAATAACAATAAATATAATAGTATCTGTTCTTTGGTCTTCTGACGCATCACTGAAGAAGTCAGTGTCTTCAGATTCCCAGAGTCTCTTTGGTCACCTGACATCCGAGCAGGACATTCCCCACACACACACACTGAGACAGATCTCCCACTGAAACACACACACACTCAAACCATCAGTGTGTGTCACAGAACTGAAGATATTTGCTGAAACGTCTCTTGATGAACGCTGACTGAATGAATGCGGTCTGGAATGGAGATCTCACCTTTCTGAGAACCGATCCATGACGCTGCCTTCATGGCCACAAACTGCCACTCCACCTGCTGCTCTATTTTACAGCCGTATAACCAGATCAGAGCCAGGAGAGTGGCCCATACTGACCCATCCACCTGTGTACAAACCAGCATCCACTGCATTTGTTACTGGACACTGCACACAATCATCACTGTCTTATTATTTCATCACATCTCTCACCTGTGCTGGTTTCTGATTGGTCAGCTCATCCTCCGTCTTCCCAAACACATCAGCCAGTGTGGCGTCCAGATCCCAGCAGCCTGACGCCTTTTGCAGAGAAACCAGCTGCAGTAACGGGTCCTTCTGAAGCTCAGGAGCAGCTGAACACACACACAAACACACCCTTATATAAAGACAGGAAAGCCAACTGGAATTCACTTACTTGTGGCTTTTAAAATCTCAATATAGCAGCAGCAACAGTTTAAAAAAATTAAGTGACAGATCTGACCTGAAGCTCAATGAAAAACACATTCAGATTTACAAATATCAAACTATTATTCTTGCATTCTGGCAATAATACTGCACAATATATGGGACATATATCGTAAATTAAATGTCCACACATGTTAGATTTGTTAGGGTCTATGCTAACTAGGAATGTATAAAAATGTGTCCTGGATCTAGTCATCAACACTACTTCTTGGTATCTCTGTTCATGTGTTTTTGTATTCACCGCCATTACTTTGACCTGCTGATGGTCATAAATGTAGTGGATATGATGTAAATCCAACATGTTCAGTGTGATGAAAGAATTACTCTGCAAGTTTCAACATCTCTTCTCTGACTCAAGACATCTTTTACACAAGTTTGAATTAAACTGTTTTCCCCCAAGATGATAACTAGACCCACTCACATGCAACACGATGAGGTCATGTGACTACAATCTAGCATGCATTCATTTTTAATCATTTAGCGTGGAATAATGCCTTTAACTTACTTTTTTTTTTTTTTTAAAGAACAGTAGGTTGTATACAGTGTATAATCAGTACGTAGTGAACTAGTATTTAACTAGTATTTAAAACTATTGCGTCAATTTAATGTCATGTTTGATAGTTAGTGTGTTTGTTCGTGTGTGAATATACCCCTTTGTTTGCCTTCAGATTCTACCCGTAGAGACAGCACAGCCCCTTCATTACTATCTCTGTAAATGACAACACACATTAACCATGAGATGACTTTGCCTCAGTGTTCAAACATAATTTAAATTTGTGTATGAGCGAGTACCGCACAGATTTTTAAGCCAAACTAATTTATTATGCAGCTCCTAAATATATGACTGATTCTTCCATTAAAGTTACTCTTTTAAAAACTTTTTGGTTACACTTTACTTGAAGGGGTGTGCATAAGACTGACATGACACCTTCATAATCATGACATGACACCTACATAATCATGACATGACACATGCCATGAATATGAAGGGTTTTTATGCATGTTTATGACAACTGTCATTAAGTGTCATTCGCTCAGTTATGTCATTTTTAATGCAAAGATGACATTGTTTGAGATGTCTTTGTTATGGGCTATGGTTAGGGGTAGGGTTAGGTCAAATAATGTCATATTTGCATTAAAAATGACATAACTGAGCGAATGACACTTAATGACAGTTGTCATAAACATGCATAAAACCTCCTTCATATTCATGACATGTGTCATGTCAGTCTTATGCACACCCCTTCAAGTAAAGTGTTACCAACTTTTTCCTAATTTAATATATTTTGCACGCGAAATTGAGGTTAGATTCCAACTGCAATCAAATCTGAACATATTACACGTTGAATAGCTGCCCTCTACTGGAGAAACTAACTACATGACAAATACACTTGACAGCTAAAAAACTAAAGACATGAAGACGTGTTGACCAGAGATTTTGAGTTGTCATGCAGTTGCCAAACAGTATTTGGACACTTAAACCACATGAAGGAATATCACTGCATTAGATATGTTACCAAACTAAAAGTCATATGCATTAGTGTTTTATACCAAATCAGTTTACTGAATTTAGATAAAAAATATTAACAACAACTGCTATCAATAAATAAAATAAAAGCTTAACATACAGCAAGCTATTTTATTTTGTTTAATATATGCAAATCTGTCTTAATTTTAAAATCTGGCACAATATATATATATATATATACATACATATATATGTATGTATATATACATAGTATATGTTCATCAAGTACTTTCATTTCATATGCACTAAATCCCAGCCTCAACCCATTCAAAAGTGCCAGTACTTACATAGAAACCTATACATAGTAGCCAGGAATAAATGCAAATTTTAAAGAAAAACGTCAGACGTACTCAGAGGCTTTTGCATCTGAACTCTTCATATATATACATACACACACACACATTACATATATATATATATATATATAATTTACATATTTGATTTACATTTGAATTAAAAATAATTCAATAACATTTTTAATTGATTTGTTTTCTATCATGTTTTATGGATAGGACTGAACGGCAATCATTAGAAAGTTCTGAGACGCTCAAAGCCTTATGACGTCACAGAGCGCGTTCGAATAGAACTCTCGGGGTATATAAAGCGCGTGACATTCTTACATTCTTTGTGGGTTTGTTGTAGTGGTCAGTGAGTTTTCACAGCGATGGGACAGCGAGGTACTAAAGTGAGTCCGATGACGGTTGGCGAGGTGTACGATCAACATCTTAGTACACCCCCAAAACCCAGCACCAACACGGCGCTTCAACATCCTTATCCCCGCGATGTGTATATTCATTGTAAGTACATTGCACTATAAACAATATAAAAGACCTCATATTAACAAATTAATTGAATTGAATGTAACAAAAATCCCTATTTGGAAAACCACCTCCATCTAACCATCATAAGAACTGTCTGTCTTCTAGCCAGATCATCCAAACCCCCTTCCTAAAGAGATCGCCCTCACCATCCTGGTCAACAAAGGTCACAGTGTGCCAGAAATAATAAGGCTGCTGGACTGGACGGACCACCCTGACCACTTTGTCATGGTCCTCGAATGTCCCTCTCCCTGTGAGAATCTTGTGGAGTTCATCAGGCGTCACGGTGGAAGCCTCGACGAGGAGAAAACACGGCAGATCATGTGGCAGGCGGCTCACGCCACAAACATGTGCCACCTCCGCAGAGTGCTCCACCGTGACGTCAAACTTGACAACCTTCTAATAAACAGGGAGACATCCGAAGTCAAGCTGATTGACTTCGGATGCGGGGACATTCTGAGGAGGTCACCGTACAAGTCATACCGTGGTATGTATGATATAATTCATTTCTTCTAATAGATGCAGAACCATCATTCTGCGTTAATGCAAACTTATACATCATACAAACTCCTCTCTCCTCCAGGCACAGCAGCGTACTCCCCGCCAGAGTACCACAGCAGGGGCAAATACTACGGTGGGCCGGCGACGGTCTGGTCACTAGGGATTGTGATGTTCGCATTGTTGTGCGGACGCTTCCCTAGTGACTATGACCTGTTCCTGCTGCAGTACAGGCGCTGGTCCCAACCCGGCCTGTCAAAAGGTGAGATCTTCATCACAAAAAATGAATAATTAAAAATTATACAAAACATCTTAGAGCTTAGAATAACATGATCAAACAGAGCTGATGTGAAGTGTGAGGTAGTAATCAGATGTCTTTCCCGTCTTCCTGCACAGAATGCTGTGACCTCCTCAGGGCTCTCCTGCGCGAGAAACCAAGCCGGAGACTTGGTCTGGGGCAAATCAAGTCCCACAACTGGTTTAAGGTAGTGAACCTAAGATCAGCTATGAAGAATTAATGTCCTCATGAGAAAGAAGCAAAAGCTCAAACCTGTTCTTTTTTGTGTTTT